ATGGTCTGGATTGAGATGGTTAACCCTTGAGCTTTTTCATTTCCAGATGTGAGTGTGTTTGGGGACGTGTCTATCTCAAACTGTGAGTGTTTTCCAAGGGTGGGTATGAGTTCAGTTGTTTGGACATCATGGGAATGATGCAAGATCAAGGTTCTGAGCCCTGGGAACTTCCCTTAAGAGATCACAGACTGTACCCTAAGCCTGGCCAGCCATCATCAGGTGGGTGAAAGAGATTGTTGACTCACACAACACAGCACACTTCCTACTTACGACCTTGCAACAGTAGCTTGACCTTTGTAACCTGATCGCCCATTCCACTGTCATATCTGACTCATTTAATTGAATTCAACAAATATTATAAAGTGCCTACTCAGAGGCATCTAAGTGCACAGTTGGTAAGAGAGCTGGACAAGGAGTCAAGAAGACCTGTGTTCAGATCCAGCCTCAGACACTTAACCTTTGGGCAGGTCACTTAACCTTTGTTTGCCTCCATTTCCTTATCTGTAAAATGAGCTGGAGAAGGAAATAGCCAACCATTCCAGTATCCTTGCCAAAAAAAACCCATGGAAAATATGGACCATGAGGTGAAGAAGAGTTGGACATGACTGAATGACTTAACAACTCTCAGGTGCAATTACCTGAGAACACAACATTCTTCGAGTCAGAATAAAAATAAGTAGATCCTAAGAGGTTAAAAAAAAATCATTAAAATGTCGCTGATCTTACTTTGCATTTCCAGGTATGGATATGGGATAAAGCCAAGTTCATTAACAGGAAATATCTAATGGAGGAAATTTACCAGCACTTTTTAGATGGAGAAGACTTCCATGTAGCTCAAGAAGACGACCCATTCTGGGATCCTCTTGAGGCCATTCACTTAGGATCTGCTCACGTCTGGCTCCAGTCTCTTGCTTATTCTATGAAACTCGAAGAGCAGGCAGAACTTTTGAACTCTGAAGGGCTGGAAGAGGCTGTTGTTCTCATCAACATAATTCCATGTTCAAGAACAGGAGAGTAGGTTTCTTCCTCCCTTCTCTTCTTTCCTTCTTTTGAAACTGTTCTAATAATATTTGGAAAATTCACAGGAGGCAGCATGGTCTGTTGCTAAAGATGCTGGACTTACAGCCATGTTTAATCATGTATTAACTGAGCACCTGCTATACAGATGCTACTGGGCTAGAAACTTTGGGGGATGTTGTTGAGTCATTTTTCTGTCATGTCTGATTCTTTGTGACCCTATTTGGGGTTTTCTTGGCAAAGATACTGATTTGCCATTTCCTTCTCCAGCTCTTCTTACAGATGAGCAAACTGAGGCAAACAGGGTTAAGTGACTTGCCCAGGGTCACACAGCTAGGAAGTTTGAGGCCAGATTTGAACTCAGGTCTTCCTGACTCCAGACCCCTCAGACATTACTATGACACCTAGTTGCCCCAAAGAAGTAAAAATACTTGTTATAAGGAACTTATTAGATAACTTCGGGTCTGTCAAGTAACATCTATGACTCCACTTCCTTGTCAACAGAGGGCACAAGAAGATGATATTTCCTTACCAACTTGACATGTTTGATGGACAGAAAGAAAGGTCAGTGAGGACTGAGATGTCTTATCAGCAGCAGTGGAAAATGCTTCCATAAATCCAGAATGGTATTGTTATTAGTTTTCCTTATTTCTGTACCACAAAAAGCTGTTGAGCTCTTCAAGTTAAAACAATAGCCACGTGATTTTAAAGTCCCACTGGTGACTTTGGCTCTGTGTGTCCAGAGCTGTAGCAATCTAACCGTTAGCAATATCCTAAGAAATTGAACTCTCTCTCCTTCATGGACACCAAACACACCACGGCATGAGGAAACAGTCACATACAAGGGCCTTGTGTCCCAGTGCTAGATCAGTACAGGCATTTTAAAATAACAAGCATGACCTTTATACCTTGGGGGGGCCTTGACTTCATCTGTTAACATGTTTGCTACCAATGCTACTGATCAGTAGAGGTGCTGCTTTCACAAGACCCAGAGACCCTGTCTCCCCACCCTTCCCTTATCCTGGGAAACTGGTCCATGTTTTATCACAATTTCCCACAGAGGATTTACCCAATACCCCTATTTGATTCTTTCCATTTTTTTAAATAAATGATCCATAGAGGATCTTTCCAATGTGATGGAAGCCTTCCTCTGGCTCTTTTACTATTCTAGGGACACCAATGTAGCATTCAGCCAAACCAACTGCTTTTCATCAATCCGCCTCTATATTTAGTCATGCTTGTCTTTGTTGTCTCTTATTACCACATCTCTGGCACAAGCTATCTTTAGTAACTTATTCTGGCCTACCGAATGGAGTTAGCTAGGTGGTCTAGTTCAGTTGTCCCAAAATGAGGGCATTACAACCTGTGAAGGCTGCGGTGTGACCCCAGTGGGTGACTGACTGAGAGGCAGCCTCCCACCATCTCTATGAGTGCTTCCTGCGTTGTCTCCCACAGCCATGCAAGCTTTCAACATGGCCCCCTTCTGCTCTGGGAGTTAACTTCTCAGAGCAATTCTAACCTAGCAATAATCTGTGCAACTGCACCAGCAACTGTGCATGCAGAATTCACACCCTGCTCCTTAATGTACCCATGCCTTGCTCCCCAGATCACCTTGGGGCTTCAGCAGGCACCCCTGGGCAGAGGGCTATAATTTGGAACTCACTCAACAAATGTTAAAAATTGTTTCTACATGTAATTGGGGTGAAAAAATATCATTTAAAAATAATAAATTATCTTTGCTTTCCCAAACCCAGCTATTTTGTAAGTTTCTCTATTTCTATTTGGAGCACCATTGACCTTCCTGTCATCTACATTAACAAGCTGGGCGTGATCCCCAGTTCTTTACTTCCCATTGCCAATCGATCGTCAAGTATTATGGATACTACCCCCCCAGCTCTTCTATTTGTTTTATAATGTATATAATTATCAATGTAGTAGTAGTACATATAATTTGTAATTAAGTATACATGTATTTGAATGACTAAAAATGCATTTATTAAGCATTCACTATGTGCTAGGCACTGTGCTAAGTGCGGGGAGGGGGGAGTGATCAAAAAGGTTTGAAGACCACTGGGGGTGAGTTTATGATAACCGACTTTAAGGCTGTTGGTGACTTACAAATGTGACCACAGACCCGGTGGTATGTCTTCTTCCCCACACAGCCCTTCCCTCATCCATTAATGATGCCTCAGGGCAAGTCTATATCTTATCGGACAATGCATTTCCCTCTCGTGTTTTACAGGGCTTATGGTGAGGACGATGTGGTTATCGACCCTTTAGAGCTGCTTGGCAAGAGGATTGATTTCCAGATTCAGATTATACAGTGCCTTGGTGTTAAATGGCTCAAGGAAGATGCAAGGAGGGGCATACAAATTGGGTATTGTGCTCCATTAGTTCCTGACAACTATGTCCTGTTAACTTGGTAGTCTAAATATGAAGACACTCCAATTTTTAGTTGTATTTTCTCTAGCTTCTTTTTCTTCAACTGCATAATATATCTACATGCACATCCATACATAAATATACACCCACATACCACACGTAATTTAACAGCCATGAGCTCTTTCCACTAAACCAGTCTACCACCATTTTAGGTTCATTGAGAATCTGTCCTAAATATCACCAAGGATTATGCAGTATGAGCCAAGTCTAAGATAGAAAACTGGCTGGTAATGGTATTCTAATATTATTTTGAAGAAACATGACATTTAAAAGCCTATTTATCTGTTTTCCAGCTTCATCTAACATAAACAGTAGTGTATTATCCTAATGAACTGGGAAGAGAACATTACCATCTAACACATGGGGCATGTATTTATGTTTTTAAATATGCCTGGAACTATTCATTACACATTATAAAATGTCAAGACTTAAAAACATCCACCTACTGGAAGAAGTAACAGTTTAAGTTCTACGTAGGAGGCAAACATATAAAGCACTTATTTCTTGTTTTGGTTTTTGGTGAGGTAATTGGGGTTAAGTGACGTATAAAGTGTCTAAGTCCACCTTTGAACTCAGCCTAACTCCAAGATCAGAGCACTATCCACTGAGCCACCTAGCTGCCCCTAAAGCACTGATTTCTTAAAGAGATACATAACAACCATTTCAAGGCATCCTTAATAAGATTATGATAGCAACTTCTAGTTGCTTCTGAAGTGCTAGAGTGGGCAATCATAAAGCCACACTTCAGAGTAAACATGGCTATAAATCTTGTCCTTATTCATGACAATGACTCCATAGTCTTAATGCCTACTTTGGCTTCTTTTTTTCAGCTACAAAGTCTACGACCTTCCAATCACTTTGTACACAAAGCCTGTCTGGAAAAACGTGAATGCCAAAATTGGAGAGACAGTCCATTTTGTGACCTTAAATGCATCTCATGACTTCTTGAATTACTTACAGAAAAATGCTTTAATTGTTGACTTATGGGGTCTTCAAGGTATCTTTTTCATTTTCTTTTGAGAATCATCTTTTTAGATAACAAGTTTGTACAGCTACAGTAATAAAGGGAATAGAAGAGTAACTTTTTCAGCCTTTGTTCATATTCACAGGGCTTCCTAGCTCCTAATCCAGAATGTGACTAGTATACACTTAGTAGTAGTCTGCTCCAGTGAGCTAAGAAGGGAAACTAGAGTTCTTTTTTTTAACAATCTGTGTCCTACCACAGAAGGCTGTACTGAACTGAACTGTACTCAGAAAGATCTGATCACATGGGAAGGCAACATTTTGGTAGACAATATGAAAACATTAACACCTCAGGAGGCCAATCAGGTAAGTGTGTTCAAATGATACATTAAATAGAAAATGATTACACCTACTTCAGCTGTGAGTGGTTTCCTTTTCACTTTAATCAATATGACTCTCATTTGCCCCTGCCTCTTCAAAAGAACTTTTCACATTATGCTAAAAGTAATAATCTCCAGAAAAGATAGCTGGGCAATCTATGAAAAGATTAGGCTAGAATAAGTTACTACATGCTGGAATTACTTTATAGGCTACATCAAACCAAATGGCAGAACTTTATTTGAAGCTGCTGAAGTTAGAACAGGAAACAGAACTGCTCAGAAACATTAACAGAGCCCTAAGAGAAGAGAACGTACTTCTCAAGGATTCCCTAAAGGGATGTGGTCCTGGACAAGGTCAGTGATGCACTTAAGCTTTGATTATGTTAAGATATCAATCATAATAGGCTTCCAATTAGAATGTTTCTGATATAACTACTAAGCCAAGGAAGAACAATGTATTTGCTGCTCTGCAGAGTAATTCTTCAGTATTACTTAAATGTTTCACTTAACAGGGTGGTAAAAGTTTTGCAAACACATGTTTCCCTATCATTTATTTTAGGTAGACTATGCCTACATATTGAGTAACCCTGAAAAAAACCCTGAATAAAACCCCTTTTCTTCCAGATCATAAACTATCCAGTGCATCCAGAATAACTGCACAGGCAGCATCACAAAAAGACACTCCTCAGATGTACACGCCTCGGATCAGCAACGATGCTGACTTTGCCAAAGCTCTTAAGGTCTTCTATCGAAGTATGAACATAGTAAGAGGACAGTTTCTCAAGCTAAGACATAACAGGCCTCCTGTAAGTAACCAGCTACTTCCATATTCTATGGGTAAATGGATTTTCTTTCCAACACATTTAGCAGCATCCTGGGAGGTATTAGTCACTAAACCTCTTTTGCCTATCAAAATGTGAAGAGTTAACTTCTGTAGGTAACAGTAGAAATGAGGTACAGAATATGGTTCTCAACTGAGCTCTATGTGACAAAGCCAGGGCCTCCTTAGGTATTACATTATTCTGGAAAAAAAAAAAAAGACATGACTACTGTTACTCATTTTGGTTCATTTATTTTTCAGGAAGACAATCAAATGTTACGTCCTTTTACACTAAGACAATCACATCTCTTAAAGGACATTGGTGAACTACTTGAAGCCAGCCTGTGGAAATTGAAAAATGATGTCGCTCTTATAGTCAAGAAGAAGAGAGAAAGTTTAGCGCACACCAAGTATCGAGGCTCCAGCTTCCCATAAAACATTTAAAGTTCACTTTGATTAACTTGTTAATATTAATGCTGGTTTACTAAATACTTACTGATCAAAAAATTCTCTGTAGTTTGAAAATGAAATCTGTAGGTACAGAGAACAAACTGTAAATGGCTTAAAATGCTAAATTTTTTAATTATATGCTATCATTTGAACCATTTATTTACTTTGTGTGTATAATAACTAGCTAAGGAAACTCATTAAAGGAAAAGCTATTTCCAGTGACCACACTGAGAATGTTTTAAAAGGCTGTACTATTTTCTGTGTACAGTTTAATGCTGAATGCGATAGCATGAGTAAGTGTTTGGGGTCTAAGAAAGACACACAAACCAGAATGCACTTTGAAAAGTTAGTCCGCTCCCTCCATCCTACAAATGAATCAACTGCGTGCCACAGAGGCTTTTCCCAAGGGCAGACATCGCAGATACAAAGATGTTTGATCATTTTTCAGAACAGACTCTAAGGCTATGTGGCACATGTTTGGTGTTTTAAAAGACCCACGTATAGCTTTCATGAGGGACAATATACTTCAACGGAGAACCCAGTTTTGGCCTAAAAGGTGAATGAGAAAAAAAAAACTTACTTTGGGCACTGAAAATCAAAGAAAAATCAGCACATCCAAGTATAGTCTTTACAAATGCAGCCAGAAGACAGACTCACTAAATATCATTAGCAGGTAAGTTGGGGCATGAGAAGCACATTCATACTCCTGTGTAAATATGAGAGACAAGTCAGTACACAAGCAATCACCTAGATGGCACCTGTACTTAGTCTTCATCTCACTCAATAACCAAAGCTAGTTAGAGGGTAGTGAGAATCAAGCTTGAATAGCAAAGGCACATAAAAGCATCAGGGAAACTCACTGCAAAGTTCCCCTCCATGTTTCAAAGCTCACTTCTCCCACCTGACCAGCCACTTCACATCTACGTAAGGGAAATATCTGATGCTCTGACAAGCAGTGATATCAGTTAAGAATAGCAACATAGCGCATGTGTGCCAAGCACAAACTGCTTTTTATGAAAGCCTTTCTGCCCTAATCACAAGGAAATAAGAATTTCAAGTATCAAATGGAGAAGCTGTTAATTCATGCAATTTTATAAATATTTCTAAATTTTAGACTTCAGAGCTGCTAATGACACTAAATTCAATGCCACATTGGTTGAGTCTTTCAATCAGCTTGGTTTTTGAGAAAGCGGCTCCTGGTGTGAAGACACCACCTCTGGAAAATAAGATAAATTAGAATGTTAAGACAGAGTATCCAAGTCCTGATTCCTTTAACATGCTGCAGAATTATTTTGCAGATTGCTTCCAACAAACACATAGGTTATAGTAGAATCAAAAAATCACAATTCTTAAACTCTGAAGGATACTTTTTTTCTTATAATCATGATAATTTCCACACTCAGAATTGTTTAAATGAACACTTATTATATTGAAGGAAAGCTGATGCCATCTGCACCACCACTGGGCTTCTCCTCATCTGGATCAGTTAAGTACCCTGACACCACACCCCCAAGGTACCTAATCTATTCCAGTTTGGGACTCTCACTCTAGGTTGGAGCCACCTCCTCCCTCCCCTTCCCCCCCTCCCCCACCAAATATACAGTAATTAACTCAATTAAAACCTTTCTCCTGGAAAGGGCAAATGGTTGATTATCTAAGAACTCTACACATCCTTTGATTCTCCTGGTTAAATTATTCTCTCTAAGCAGATGATGACCAAATCTATCCAGCCCTAGTTTTTCTCCTACTTAGTAAACTCCACTGGTTCTCTATTTACCTCTAGGATCAAAAATGAAATGTCTCTGGTATTTAAAGGTCTTTAGGACCTGACCAACTCTCTAGTCTTTTAACACTCCCCCTTCACACCCTCTCCATAGTCCTGTCCTGTTATTCCTCACCTAAGATGCCTCACCTTCCTAACCTCAAGGTAGAATCTCTCACTTCTTCTAAGATTCAGCTCCAGCATCATCTCTCCTCCAAGAGGACTTTCTGGGTCCCTCCCATCCCCGCAAGGTGAGCTTCCAAATGCTGTTATTTGTCTTCTATGTACCAACTTATACGTATGTTGTCTCACTCCAATCTCCAGCACTTAATACTTACTGGCTAACTGTTTTAGGTCCTGCCTAATTTGTTTTTAGAGACTCTAAAAACTTGTAGTCTCAAATTACCTTGCAGGGTTGTCCTATTGTTATAGCAACAGTTCAATTCTCCATTAACATAGTTCAATAAATGAATATCTAGCTAAGAACAAACTATCTCATTCCTTCTTAAATGTAAATACTCTCAGTATCATCAGTATACAGCTCAGGACTGATTACTGGGCAACGACTTCATCTTAGGCATGTATAGTTAAACTTCTTGCCTAACCTTGGGATCCATGTCCATTTTTAAAAACAAATAGTTAACAGAAATAACCAGTTGATAAAATAATTTAAATATCCCTGTATCTTTGGACAATGGAATTGAAAATGCTGAGAACCATCACAAAAAAGGCAAAAGTATTAACAGTTATAGATGGGCTAATTCTTCTAAATATAAGAAAACCAACTCACCCCTTAGGAAGCTCAGAGGTATCTTTTAAAAGAGTCACAGCTGCCTGAACCATTGCTATGGGTGTAGCCACATAACCAGGCTCTACAGAAAATATTTTATTGAAAGAAAAAAAATTAAAACACTATTTATTCAAAGTCACATAATCCAAAGACAATCTTTTTTGTCACTTTGCATACAGAACTTTTAAAACCTAACCTATTTATGAAACCCAATAACCTAAGCTTGGGGCCTTTGATTTTTTTTTTTCATTTGGAGAGTTGGGGAGAAAATTAGAGTTATAATTTCACAGATGTATGGAAACTCCCTCCATCGAAACAGATCAGCAACTGATGAGTCTTAAAGTCCTTGAGAATGTTCTGAGATGCAGAGAAGTCACACAGTCAGTATGTGTCAGAGGCAGGACCTGAACAGGTCTTCTTGACTCTAAGACCAGCCCTTTATCCACTATGCCACAAAGATTAATGAAACTGGATGCTATCTGCTTTTCTATGTTCTACTTCCAAAAACTTAAGTTATTCAAACAATCTCTCTATTTCTTACAAAAGGGAAAAGTAACTAGTTATGGTTATTAACCTTGCAATAGGATATACAATCAGTGATCACTCCCACACCTATGAAATAATAAGTCTGCTTTCCTCGCTCTTCCTCCTTTAAGAAAAGCAACAAAAGTCAAATAGGTTGCAATCAGTGATGACCTGTCATATAATTAGACTAAAACCAATCCACTTTAGAAAATCATTTGAGAATCTGAAATGATGCCCAGTAATTTGGCTTGACTGATAAAAAAAAAAGTTTACATGTTTTACAAATGCTACTGTGTCTCTGTAGTTCTCTCTATATATATTCAGACTGCTGATATTATAACCAATATTTATAAGCCAATCATCCCTTTTCAAATGCAAGTGCTAACTTTAGGCCCAACTTTTCCCAAAGTGGAATTAATAAAGCTAAATAATTGATTTTTACTAAAGAAAACCACTGTGATGGATGTTATTTATTGTAAATGCATTTATTCTCTCAGCATCTCTCATTTCAACTTGATTCATGTAATTTATGTAAATATGATTCAACTTCTCCGCCACTTAAATCTAATGCCTCATTATGGAGGTTATCCTGGATTCTCAAAAGCAATGAAAGGATAGTATAAACTCAAGCAGGGAGTATAAAAACTGAAAAAAGCCTCGAATACAATCTACAAGTCTAGCTAGACAAACTAAATTTGGAGAGATTCATCATCAAAGGATTGGCCTCTACATAATAAATGAGTTGCTATGGCTAAAAATATTCAAATCTCTCTGATGGTAGGGCAGATTTGGGTTTGGGATAAGTAAAGGAAGTGCCCAAATGAGTCGAATCATGGATCTCTGAATCTGAGAGGAATCAACTTCTATTTTAAAATGGCTGTAGAATGTATACGTCCCAAATGCACAAGAAGAAAAGCTCATTGTTCCTAAATCACAAACATACCTGGTCCTTTCACTTGAGTGCAAATTTTAATATTGGGTTTGCCATGTTTTGTAGTATGGTCCTGGCTATATCCTTGACCAAAGAATGTAAATGTAAATGAAGCATCATCCATCTGCAAAAGACAAAATAAAGAGACATTTACTTAATATATATTTTTTCTTTGACTGTAGGAATGCCTGTTACTCCCTAATTCATAAAGTTCTCATTTTAAGAACATGAAAACCAAAATTCAACTTGATAAGTCATATCAATTCTTTGGGCAAGAAAAACTCTAGCTTCTTTGGTATTTCCAATTTTCAAAGTGATTACCCAAATAAAAATTCCTTATTAGTACATCAAATCTGCTTAGCTCTTATTTCAGAAAGATTAAAAAGTCCATTCATCCCATTAATATTCTCACACTATATTTCCTTCAGTTCTACATAACAGTTCTGACTCCCCTGTGCCTTCTTTTGTTTGGTTTGTTTGTTTTCATTTGTTTTGGTGAGGTAATTGTGACTTGCCCAGAGTCACATAGCTAGTAAGGGTTATGTGTCTGAGGCCAGATTTGAACTGATGTCTTCTGACTCCAAGGTCAGTGCCCTATCCACTGCGCCACCCCACTGCCCCTGCACCTTTTTCTGTTAAGAAAATGTTACGTGCCCCTAAAAGATACCAGACCATTCAAGAACTATTTATCAAGTGTGTGTGCTGGGCATGTGCGCAGAGTGATTGTGAGATTCAAAGAAAATATAAGCCTTAGTCCCTTCCCTCTAGGACTTTACAATCTAGTTAGGTGGATAAAACATATACAGCTAGATAGACAGATATACATATCTATCCATACACACACACACACACACACACACCCCATGTGTATACATATATGCACATGCACACAAGCACATAACTATGTTACACAAAGTCAATGTGTATACGAATGGTAAAGACAAAAGGTGCCAAGGGAAATTCAAAAAACAGTGCTCTTCTGGTTAAGGTAGAAAGAGAAAGCTTCCTGGGAGATGCAATCTGAAATGGCTCTTGAAGAATAAGGTGGATTTGGGGCAGCTAGATGGTGCAGTGGATAGAGCACCGGTCCTGGATTCAGGAAGACCTGAGTTCAAATCCAGCCTCAGACATGTAACACGTAATAGCTGTGTGACCCTGGGCAAGTCACTTAACCTCACTGCCTAGCCAAAAAAAAAAAAAAGAATAAGGTGGATTTCATCAGGTCAAGAGGCAAAAAAAATGTTTAGAATATGCTAAGTAAATCAAGCAATCTGTCTAACGTGAAAGATTTGTGTAGAGCAATCGTGTGAGACAGTAACTGGAAAGGAGGCTGTGGGGCAGACAGGAAGGATTTACAATTATGACTGATGGCTGCTGGATTTTATCCTGATGGTCATAAGTAGCACGAGGGAGTTACATAATCAAAAGGAAGGTTTTGGAATATTAATTTGACACACTGTGTGGAGTGAACAGAGGGACAGGGGTTCTTAATCTGGTATCTTTCAATCTGTGGGGTTTGGGGGTTAGGGTTAGGGTTATTTTGATAATTATTTCAAAATAAATGGTTTCCTTTGTAATCCTATGTATCTTATTTTCTGCATCTAAAAAAGTTATTCTAAGAAAAGACAGGTTTCTCCTGTCACAGGAGTCCATGACACAAAAAAAAGTTAAAAGCCCTCAAACTGGGACATTAATACAACAGACTGAGTACGAACCCGAAATGACCTTTTTAGTGTAAGAATATCAAATAGGCCTTGGTCTTAGTGAGGAATAAAGGCAAGAGAAGGGTCAAAGATGATTTTTCTATTCAAGCTAATTTTTCAGTCGTTTTCCAACTGTGTCCAACTCTTTATGACCCCATTTGGGGTTTTCCTGACAAAGCTACTGGAGTGGCTTGCCATTTCCTTCTCCAGATCACTTTATAGATGAGGAAACTGAGGCAATCAGGGTTAAGTAACTTGCCCAGGGTCACATAGCTAGTAAGTGTCAAAGATCTAGGGACACAATACAATTAAAATAAAAACCAAAGATGAAAGATGTTTTTAAAATAATAAAAAACTAAAGGTTCACTACATATTTAAGATGAGAGTTTAATTTTTCATTTTTCTGTTGTTATTCAATGAGGTAGAAGAGCTGTGGAAGGAGCAGCTTACAAATGTGTTGGGAAAAAACTTAAGGGTTATAATGCCTCTTACCATTAAGTTTGATGATCTAAGACAATTTTGAGAAAATGCTTTATAAACAGAAAAGGATTACCTGTTTCTGCGTTGGTCCTTGTTGTGAGAAATACCCGAAGGAGAAAAACCATGGAAACTAAAGAAAAAAACACCTGAAGTGAATTTTAAGAGAACAAGTAGACAAATGCTTCTTTTAAAACAAACATTGACAGCCGTACTTACTTTTACCAGAAGTTGCCTTCCAATGCTAAACTTCACGAAGAGTAAAAAGAAAAGTCCCGCAAACATCAGCTTAATAATGGAAGTGAGGCCTCCAACAGTCACATAAGCAGCGTACTGAACCTAAATAAGGAGCACCAAGCTGTGATGGGACGTTTTGCATCCTGGCTGTACTAATTAACACAAAGATTAGGTCCTTAGTTCTTACATACAGACTGGGGAGTAGGGGGAGAATTCAGTAGAAATAATGTTATAAATGTTGTTTAAGTGCCTAGGATAGCCCAGGAAAACTCATTTTAACCCATAATATCACAGAATTGTGTGCAGCACCACCTTGAATAACACTGTTTCTATGTGAATGTGTTCCCAGTTCCAATTTGAGGCACCGGAAACATATCCTCCAGATGCAGCCCTGGCATGGGACAACAAATCTCAAACAGCAGAAGGTTATAGCAAAAGAGTAAGAAGGGAAGGAGCTGTCCAGGTATACCATGGATGGGAAAGGGCTATTGCCATGGCCACAGAAATGAACAAGTGGCCAGCTACCACTGTTGTGATATAGACTCAAAAGTCATGTAGCTAAAATAATAAAAATATAAAAACAAAATATGTTCCTTGGGAACCATCTGGTCCTACCCTACTTAAAGATTCTGATTTACATCCAAATAATGAAATGAGCATTGTTCAGCTCTTCTGTTTTGTTGCTTTAAAAACACAAGATTTCTATTTAAGAGAAATTAATAAGATCAAATATGTGAGAGGATGCTTATTCATTGACAAACTTCAAACATATAAACATACTGGTGTTTCCTGCAAGTCTTCATACAAGAACCGCTGTGTCCTCTTCACAACAGAGACATCAGCTCCCATGAATGGGATAGAATATTCATGCAGTTCACTACAGTAAGAAACAGGCCATCTGAAAGAGAAATCTAAAATGAGAGCGTCCTTCCTTCCTGCTCCCAGCGTAGCAAAAGCTTAGAAACAATGTCTTTTAAAAAAAAATCAGGGAAAAATGTGGTGACACTCTAATGGCAATGACAATATGAAGGCTGAGATCTGCTCTCATGTCAGCTTGGTTCTCCTCTCTCTTTACTTCCTGTCTCCATGACGAGAAATTCTGGAGTGAATAAAGAGTGCTCTGCACACAGTGAGCACTAAAGATCTATGCCATAATTTCTTTTTGTCCAGACACATAACATTCACTAGCTGTGTGACCCTGGTCAAGTCACTTAACCCCATTGCCTAGGGAAAAAAAATTTTCTTTTTATCAATAGCCTTCAAAGGCATACAAATTCTAGATTAAAGAACCCACATTTCAACAGGCAAATCCTAAAAGTACAAGGCAGTCTGTACCAATAGGCTTCATGGCGTCAGGATTATATTTTTTCCACAACAGAAAAAAGCTATCAATGAGACAGAGCAGAGCAGACAAGAGTATCATATATTAAGATGATTCATATTTAAATCTGACATTGGGTAATAAGATTTGTTACAAAATTACTTTTACTCTCTGGCTCTAAATATATTATTATACACAGAATATTCCTTTTTAGGGTGATGTGAATTATAACTTCGTTTTTTTTTTCTTTTTACTTTGATACACTGATCCCAGATCCCACACATTCTATAGTTGCTCTAATTAGTACACTGCAATCCATTCCTTCACAAATTATAATGGATAATATTCAAATGAGCAATAACATGCTTAGAATAAGAGGTGTCTTATTAAAAGATCTTAAGATTACATACCTTCTTTTCAATTTCGAACCAACAACTGGAACAGGTTTCATATTTGATTGTTTTCGTAGGTTTCTTAAACGCTTCTGGTCACCAAAACCATGAACAGCTGACTTCCAAGTTCCATCATGAATACACATTCCCTGAAGAAATATTTCAGATGATAAAATACTTCAGAAGTGGCAAATCCTACACACACACACCACCTTTTTTTTATTATGCATTATTTCAGTGCATATTTAACTGTTTTAACTGTGTTAACTGAAATCAAGTTGTTTGAGATACTATCAGTTATCTAACAGAGTAGCAAAGAGAGACTTTCATAATTGGTTGGCTTACACCAGAATTCACCAGCTTCAATACATTTACTGTTACATTCCCTCTCTGACACAGGACAGCCCGTCTGTATCCCTGACAGCCACTATTCATGTTCTTTCCAGCAATATTGTACCATTCTATCCCTTTATCACCAAATCATATTCCTTCCTGTAAAGCAGAATTAGTGCCTAAATCTAACCCTACTGCCAACTGTACAGACCTCTCAGATCATATCCCCCACCTCTGATTTTTTCATACTCCTCCTCAAAGAACATTCTATTTACCTGCTTAAGTTATAAGTTAAAAAGTATTACTTGATAGTCACATCATCCTCTAAGGTGCAGTTTGGTAATCAAGTAAATCACATAAACCTGACAACAAAGTTAATATGACATATGAGATAGAGAATTAACAAAAACTGACATTGTACTGAATCATAATTAAGTATAAATAATACTAGAGGTCAAAAAGCCCAAATATAAATTTCACTTACTCCCTAATTTTAGCTAGGGGCCAGCCCAGTCAACAACTAGCCATTCTGTTCCCATCCTAGCTACCAAGGAGCAGACTGAGCAGTGTGCAAAGGACAACCCAGACTATGGTGGGAGTCAGAGATAATTTTTGCCAGAATTTAAGTTAGGCCATTCTCATTTGTGTAATACCCTGGAAAACAGAAACCCTGAGCCTAAATGGAACAGTTTGATGCCTGGAAAAAATTGAAAGGAAAAAAAAAAAGATTTGTGGGCTTGAGGCTGGGTCTGCAAAGAGGCCTATAGAAACGAAGACTACAAAAGCATTTCTAAGGTTAACTGGGGTGGGGGTGTGGGTGGGGCCCAATAAACCCACAGTAAAAATCAAGCCACTGTTTCCAGCACTTCGAGAAGGTCTGTCCAAGCCACCCTCCTTGCTCACTCATCTCTCTCTGAAGACCCCTGGATTTGTCACCCAAAAGAATCCAGGCAGTTGAGCTTCCCCAAATTTTCTGGCAGGGGAACTCATGATCCAGGATCCCTGGGCTGACAAGTGTTCACACTCCCAAATCTGGGGAAGGAACATAGACGGGAGAGCTTGGAGCTGTACTTTACTTAAAGGAGGGCAGAACGTTCTCTTTGTGAGAGCAATTTCCCTTCCCACTGATAAGCCAGAGATTAGGCTGTCAGGGCCTCCGGATCGGCAGGCAGAAGTAGGGTGCTGGTTGTGTCTTCCGACTAGCACAGAGGCACGAAGGGAAACACCAGACTTAAAAAAGGTGAGGTGGGCAATGTGGTTTTGAGAAGGCCAAAAATATCTCCCTTATACTGCCTGACATTCTACCAATAAAGAGACTGATGTGTTTTGGAAATAAGTAAACTAGAACTGGGAGAAGGAAGAACATGGCAACAGAAGGGAGGAGAAGACTGAGAATTTCTTTTGGAACGCTTGGCATAAGAGCAGCACGAGCACACAATCTTTTTCTGGATGTTTTTAATACGTTAAGGAACTCACAACACTAACCTCAGGTCCTGAATTTACTGTCAGGAAACTTTCAACGGCAGTCAGAGTACCTTAGAAGTGGGGAAAACAGTAAAGCATCAAAAAACAAAATATAATCATCCAAGAGAGATTCAATTTCTCATTTACTCCTCCTTACCCTTGGCCCAATTTTAATATCAACCATCTGATACTGAGTCTGAGAGCTAGAAGTCCTGGACTTTATAGTCTCAGCTATGTACCAATTAAATACATGGTAACAGAAAACATTCTTCCCTGAGCTGATGCTAAAATTTACTACATCTAGCAAGGAATGGGTTTATCATCAGAAAGCAGTTCAGCATAAAACATGTGAGGATAAAATAACTTTATTTGGTTTCTCCGGCATTTAAGAGGAAATACTAAAAATCCCATCATTTAACCATATAGCTAACTTGCTTCAGAGGCCACATTAGTATGCAGTTTTACTCAAAATCATTAGTTCTACAGACTACATTCTGAGGCAGTACAGCTGCTTTCACATTTTTTTCAGGACAAAAACATTCTCTTCCATGTTCTATGACAAGCAACTCTAAGATCTCAACCAAGTGTTATCTAAATACATAAGACTTTTGACCCCCTTCTGTAGGAAAGAAGCAGTCCTACCTTTAGGCCTCACCTTGGCTCATGAATATAAAAATGAGCTTGTCCTCCGTCTGGGCATGAACCTAAGTCAGGCTCCTACATTTTCATGACCAAGGAACAACTCTACCTCATACACAGATCACTTCTTAAACAGCAAAGGATATAGTACCTTAGGTATTCAAAGAATTCAACCCTGAATTGACCACAAATTTAACACTAGACAAAGAGCCATCTGAGACACTTGGCTATTTGAGAGGCAACCCAATGGATATGTACTGTCCATGAACCATGCATATCCTCAATTCTTTATTAGTATTAAGTTAGATAAGAAAGCAACATATGTAGACCATGTTACTTCAGTTCCCTGATAAAATTCCATTTTCACCTTAGGTGCTAAGAATTATAGAGACAAATTCAGTGCCCAACTGTATTCATTAATACTCAACCCAGTTTTTCTGATGGTCTCATTCTGTTTTAAACAGCCTGATTTTATACAGTTTAATTTTGTAAGCCACTTCGAATCCTTTTTTGCATACAGGTAGGGTAGGAATACTAAAATGTTAAAATGACTCGATGGCCTTGGAGAAGTCCTTAAGCTCATTACCATTCACAAAATGGTGATGATAAAACCCTACCTATCTCACAGAGTTTCTGTAAGAACAGTGATCACGCTGTACATGGATAACCAAATCAGACTGCTTGCCATCTTGGGGAGAGGGGAGGGGATGGGAGGAAGAGAAGAAAGTTTGAAACTTATAAAAATGAATGTTGAAAACTTTCTTTACATATAATTGGGAAAAAAAATTATTAAAAATATTACTAAAAAAAAAGAACTGTGATCACAGATAAAAAAAATGCTTTGAAAAACTGAACACATTACACAAAAACATTACTATTGCTAAACCAAGACAGTAGACCAACAGTCTAAACACAAAGAAGAATAAACACAAATCTAAAGGTTTGAGAATTTGAACGTAGTTGCGGCCTGCCTGTTTTTGGCTGGATAACATAAAAATCAACAGAGGAGCTGAAAATGCTCTTTTTTAATTGAAATGTAGAAGATTAAATTGACTGAAGAATGACAAGCCATATTTTGGACAGTTTGCAATATTTTTAATAACCTATGTAAACCATGACTAGACCCCACTATTTCACCTGTTGAATTACAATGTCATTAACATGAGATAGTGGATAGTGATGAACTCGAAGTTATGAAGACCTGAGTTCAAATCCCACCTTTAACTGTGACCATGGCAAATCATTTAGCCTCCCTAAGCTTCAGTTTTCTCATCTGTAATAACAACTGACATTTGCAAAGACTTTTACATATATCATTTTATTTGAGCCTCATAATAACCCTAACAGAGAGGCATTTACAGGTATTATTATCCCCACTTTGCAGATTAAGAAACTGAGGCTCCGCAAAGTTAAGCATATTCCCTATGGTCCCACAGCTACTAAGGGCCAGAAATGGGATTTGAATGCAGGTCTTCTGGATTCCAAGTCCAATACTCTACGTACCTCCCTCCTACCCTCTGTAAAACAGAGATACATGTAATGTGCTTTATAAACTTTAAATGGCAATAAATGGTTAGTTGTTATCATTCTCCTATTTAACTTTAGGAATGAGTTCAGGCCTACAGAGCTGAAGGTGCTGAAAGGCCTCCTAATTAACTGACGAGGTACGTTCAGCCACTTGTACACGTGGTAGCTTAGTATACAATCTGCAATACTATCAACTGAAGAATTCATTTCCAAACATTACTTAAGATTACCTAACACACCTGTATGTGAAAAGTATCCTGAAGAAATTTTAAAATCATCCATAGGTTAAGTGGAAAAGAAAGTGAATACACTCTAATATTTTAGTCCAAAAGTCGTTAAACTTTAAGCATTATCCAGTCTGAACTCCTCGTTTTACAGATGAGGAAAACTAACCCCCCCTCACAAAAGTTTACAAGACACAGCCCAGGTCCCATGGCTACCCACGCACTCTTCAGGGACCTTGATCCCCCATCCAGCGACCTTTCCCTTGTTCCTGGTGTAGCTTCTGTCACAACAGCATCATCTTTAAATGTTGCCCAATCAACAGTACAAAAAATGAAGTAATATAAGCAGTTCCATGTTAAAAAAAAAATTCTCACTGGATTCATTTTTAGACAAGATGCCTGAAAATCTGGAAGGAAATATTTATCAAACTGTCAAGATCAATAAAGTTCTTGTGGAAGGTAAAAGTGACTTTGGAATTTTTTGTCCAGACCTGTGATTTCAATGGCACAGGGAACTCTCAGGCATAAGAACACCCTCCGCTGATGGAGATCAGCAAATTATGTGTAGCATAGCTTAATTTTCTGAAGCACAACTGTGACTGACTCTAACCTTGGTTAAACAATTACTCTGTGTCAGAGGCAGACTGAACCCATATCTTCTTAACTCTAAGGCTAGCCCTCAGTTCACTATACCACAGTGCCTCTTGAATTTAAATTAGGAAAGCTTAGGGATAAATGCTTATTTTTTTGCATTTTTCCTCAGATATTCCATTCTCCCCTCCCCCATTAAAAAAAGTTCTCCATAGCTTCAAAATTTAGGAAATTTTACATTTTTTAATTATAACTAAATTATGCATTGAGTTCAGCCTCATTATTAAAAATAATTTTCAAGTCTCAAAACAAAATTTGACAATTCATCATTACATCTATATCTAAACAAGATCCATCTTTACATTAGTCATCAAACTAATTACAGATATCAAACTTCTATGCTACTTAAACGAATTACTGCTTATCAATAATTACCTTTCAATTTATTTCTGGTATATAATACTCCTAGATCAGCTGGAATGGAACCAAAACCACTGCTTCCAATAACATATACCCCTTTCTCTGCAGCTTTTTCATGATACTTCCAATACATTTCTTCCAGAAACTGAAAAATGTAAGAATGTGATATTCAACATAAAGTGTTACCTATGTAAAGGGGTTATAGTTGGTAGAACTGTTTTTAAAATGAACCTTTTAACACCAACAAAGCTTCAGTAGTGGAAACTTACCTCTACTGCTGATATAACTTAACAATTTTATGATTTAACTTAACAAAGTTATCTGTACTGGCCTTAGGCATTTTCAGTTTTAAGAATATCTTTTTAGAAGCCTTATTATGCACATAACACTCGTTCGTCACTTTGTTTTGAAAGTATAGGTGAGTGCTTCTTTCATATATTTCCATTTAGTCATCTAGGTTTGTGGACATAGCTTTAAACTTGTTGTTACAGCAAAGAACTGGAAACAAACTGGAGAATGGCTAAAAAAAAATTATGGTCTAAAAATGTAATGAAATATTATATTATACCTTCAGAAATGACAAAAGGAATGCTTTCAGAAAAGTTTGGGAAGGCTTGTATGAACTGATGCAAAATACAGTAAGCTGAACCAAGAAAATATTGTATATGGTAACAACAACATTGTAAAGAAAAAACTTTGAAGGACTTAAGATCTCTGATCAAAGCATTGACCAAGCACTACTGAGTACCAATCATAAAGCAAGCTACATACCTTCTGGCATAAGAATAACAGCCTCAAGATGTAAAATGATATATATACTTTTGGACAAGGCAAATGTATGGCTTTGTCTTGCCTGACTATGCATATTGCTTAACAAGGATTGTGTTTTTCATGGGAGGGGAAGACAGTGATACTAAATAAGGAAAAAAAGATAAAAATAAGAAAAGAAAAAGGATCTTTAATAAATTCAATATTCAAAGCTGACCTGATTGTATTTCTTTCTAAACTTCTGTTTATTTAACTATCACTCATTTTCAAATATAACTATATTTGAAATTCAATATCTAACTAACTTCTTATAAACTGGTGTTGAAGTCATGTCACTGTTTAGAAGGGGACTAAATGAGAGACTGACTGGATTGCTGAAATTTCACTAAGCCAGTTGATTGTTTGTTTTGGGGGGTTTTTTGGCTAGGCAATGGGGTTAAGTGACATGCCCAGGGTCACACAGCTAGCAAGTGTCAAGTGTCTGAGGCCACATTTGAACTCAGGTCCTCCTGACTCCAGATCACTATGCTATTTGAAAAAATGAGTTAAAGCTCCTGTTCCCAGCCCTCTGAACTCTCCAGACTTCCCTACTATGCTCAAGCAGCATTCTCAACCTGGAAGATCTTTGTATCTCCACTGCCGCCACCACCACCATCATCTCCTCCTCTTCCTCATGAGTTCCTACAGAATCCTTCAAAAGAAAGAAGTCCCTAGGCCAGCCACACTCACTCCTCTCCCACCTCTGCTCAGGACTCTCTGGATTTCTCTACTTTCTCCCTTACCCACTCACTCTTCAGCTCCCTTTCACGTGTTGTTTTTTCCCATTAGAATGTGAACTCCATGAGAATAGGGAATTCTTTCTTTTTGTCTGCATTTTCAATGTTTAGTACAGTGCCTGGTACTTAGGAAATGTTTAGTAAATGCTTTTTGACTTGACTGCCTCCCAACTTATAAACAATATTGAACATTCACAAATTATGCTAATTGTACTTACCTTAAATCTTTCATATTTTACATACCTGTGGTTCGCCAGAGATGTCAACATAGCTAGCTCCATTTTCAATACATGCTTTGACCACAGGTTCTCCATAAAATCGATACTAAGGAAATAAAAAAATGCATAAATTATCTTTCAGCCAGTTAAAATGAAGTAAATGCTCTCAATCTTGCCTAATGGTAGAAGTTCTTAGAGGAAAAGAGCCATTTCTTTTGGTTGATAAGACTATACTATAACGACGATCTAATGCTGTGTTTTAGTAAAGCACTAATGCCATACCATCTGTAGAGATTGGGCTCTTGCACTCTATCCATAGCAGTAATTATATGTTTTCACTGAACTATCCACACTTTCACTTGATCACCCTCACGATCAACAATCTTGCTTTTGTGACAACACTGATGGCCAGGCTTAAATTAGTCTATAGTATTGAAAAAGAAATTCTCTCCGTAATGCTGCTGCATAGTATGAGAATTAAGCCTGCAATCTTACTCTCAAATGGAGTTAAATAGTACAAACCAATACTTATATAGAGTAGTGAAATGAATCCCTGGGAGCATATCATTTCCCTTCTCCTCAGGCCTTGCAACTGTCTGATGCAGGGTTAAGGTCCTCCATGCCAACTGTCCTGCCTCCCTTCTTCCTACCTTATGTTCCTTCAGAATACAAAGTAGCAATTTTGCTAGAAAAGAATGTGTTGTTTGTTCCAATAAATAGAAGGGCTAATTACTTACTGGTCCTATACAATTGAGAACAACAGATGCTTGTTTAGCCATTTCATCAAGAGAGGCTGGATTAATGATATCACAGATTATTATACCAACTTCATCTGGAAGTGTAGGTCTCTCTAGAAATGAAAAGAAAATTACAAAAGAGACATGGTACAACATTAGGTCCTTTGGATCTTTTAAAACAATATTAACTAAAATAAACAATCTATATCAACAGACATTGAGTACCTACTACTTTCAAGGCATTGCGCTAGGCAATAAGAATACAAAGACAAAATGAAACATGGCTTAACTATCCACTGGAAGAATGCAACAGGTAAATAGATAAAAATAAAAAAGTCACACTAATGCACAGTAAGAGCACCAACAACTGTGTGCTCCAGGAGATGGCATCTGAGCAGAGCCTTCAAAGATTGTAAGAGGTGTGGCGGTAAAGAAAGAGTGTTTCCAGCGTCAGTCAAGTTTAGACGAAAAATGGAATGCTAAGTTCAGGGATGAGCTTAGTAGGCTAATTTGGCTGAAGGGACTCAGGAGTCACGCTCTCCACCTTTTAAAATGCGTAAAACTTTTGCTTTACCCTTAAAAAAACACAGCTGTTTTATTAATATCTTTCACCAAATAATAAGGAAGACTTAAGGTCTCTTGATCTTCACATTTTAGATCTCTTAAATATTTAGAGGAAACAATGTTCATATTAATAATTATTTAAAAAAATAAAAGGGTAAGTACAAAATACCACTAATTTAAAAAAAAAACTAGCATAACCAAGTGTGATCTATCAGCTAAATAATATGACAACTTTGCAAGGGAGTTCAAGTGGCTGAACAGATTAGTATATTACTAACTTTCTATGAAGTTAATAACATACTATGAGTCTATTGTGGAGGAGAGTGATGGGCTTAGGGCTGGATCAAACTTGTGATTTCATCGGTATAAAGAACTCTCAAAGAAGCAATTCCTTCCACCCATAAGCAAGGCAGCACCTGCTCTGCGATTTAGTCTTAAAGAGCTGCCTAGGGGCACTGAGATTATACAACAAAAATTAAATCTGGTTTTCCAATCTACTCTCCTATCAACTAAAAAAACCGAACACAATTCAAGATGAAAATTAACTTGGAAAAAAGATAAAAAGAATGGAAAAGATTATGAAGGTGGGAAGTAAATTTAGCTTCCACAATTGGAAGTTCGCCCCCAATACAAGGTGTCACAAGTCTCAACTCAGCGACATACTGGGGGAATTCTTAACTTATTAAAAACTAGGAAAGAGGGAAAAAATGCACAACCATCAGCACATGTAGCATTAAGACACTAGATAGCCTAATCTCAGGTCTTATTTTAACCTGAAAGTACGTATTTCCAAACATTGCTTATAAAAACTCAACAAACAGGATCTATAAACAACTGATAACCACTTACAAAAGTAAAACCCATGTACTCCTCAACAGATAAATGGTCAAAGGATATGAACCATTTCAGTTCTGAATTAGAAAAACAATCATATAAATTCTGTAATAATCAGAGAATATGTAAGTTAAAATGTTAGGCAGAGGTTGATCCTTTTTTGTCAAAGAACCTTTTTGACAGTTTGGTGAACTCTATACAATCTTTCTCAGAATGCTTTTAAATGCATAAAATAAAATATGCAAGATTATAAAGGAAGTCAACTGTTTTAGAAATAAATATGTAATTTTTTTTCAACCAATCTCACAGACCCCACTGAAATCTTTCCATTTCCAGGATTTTTGCACTTCAAGTCAAGAACCCCCCACTACCACCTAATATCCAAATTTTCAAATAGTTCAGAGCATTAAAACTTAAATATTGTACCAACTATGAGGAAACAGGAAAAATATTCCATTGCTGAAACAATGTGAAATGATGCAGTCTTTGTGAACAGCAACATGCAAAGCTCATGACCTTCGACCTAGTGATCCCATCCTATTGCTTAAGGAAAAACAAAGATAGGATCACTCATGACCTTCAACCTAGTGATCCTATCCTATTGTTTAAGGAAAAACAAAGATGGGTTCACTAGGTCGAAGATCATGAGCTCTGCATGTTGCTCTTCACAAAGATTGCATCATTTCACCTTGTTTCAGCAATGGAATATTTTTCCTCTTTCCTCACAATCGAGATGCCAGGTGGTGCAGTGGATAGAACACTGGGTCTGAGTCAGGAAGACCTTAACTTCAGACGCCAACTGTGTGACCCTGGGCAAGTCACTTAACCCTGTTTGCCTCAGTTTCCTCATCTGTCAAATGAGCTGGAGAAGGAAATGGCAAATCACTCCAGTATCTTTGCCAAGAAACCCCAAACGGGGTCACAGAGAATTGGACACAACTGGAAAACAACTGAACAAGCTGTATGAGAAAAAGTTTGCTGTAGCTTAATTTGTAATAGTGAAAAACTAGAAATTGGTATCTTCAGCTATTTGGAAGCTGGCTCATATAAACTCTGGTTGCACTATAGAAAATTACTTGGAAATAATTCAAAATTGTAAGTCATGATGTAAAACAAACCATAAAAAGAACTAAACTCGAATCCGCAGACAGAAAAGATATCAGAAGGGAATGCCACACCATCCAAAGATGCTTTGTAAAGTTTACATTTCCCCCTTTCAGCAAACTAAACAGTTTACGTTTAGGATTTTGGGTCTGATCTCGTTTTTTCTATTATCAAGTTTTTAATAAAACCTTTTTTTAAAGTTTGCATTTTCTATCAGGTTTCTTTCACTGGCTGTCCCTGAGGCCTTGAGCTCTCTGTCCTTTCTCATCATGCCTCCTGGCTTCCATCCAAGCCTCAGATACAACCCCATCTGCACGAACCCCTTCTCCGTCCTCCTTAACCTTGGAGCCTCGTCTCTACTGCCCCCTTCAAAGGATGCTGCTCCTCCAGAGCACGGATTACGCTTGCTTTGCCTCTCTGGTCCTCTTCTCTTGGCACAACGCCTAGTATACAGCAGGAGCTTAATAAATACTTGCTGATTAGCTGACCTCGACTTGTTTTCACACCCTTTCCTGACAAAGGAAAAACAAAAGACCCTCCCTAGCTCACCACGCATCCCCAGGAGCGGTACCACTAGTTAATTAATTAGTCCACGGGTATGACAATGAGGGAAACTAAGGCAATACCCCCAGATCCTCTAGAGAGGATGGGAGGAATTTAAACCGGGCGGAGAAGAAAGAAAACTGAACTCCGGAAAGATTCCACTCTCACCCCCTCCCCCTCGCCCAGGGAGAGAAGGATTTGGGGGGGGGACATGAAGGGGCGCCACCATCCGCACGGAGCATGCGCATGCATGTTGAAGCTCGAGGGTGGATGTAAGAAGTGGAAAAAGACGGGGGCCGAGGAGGGTCTCAATTCCCCGGAGCTCGGGGTCTTCCCCACAAAGGCCCCGCCCCCATTTTACCCAATTTCTGTGCTGCCTTCTCCAACACCTGCAGCAGCTTCTCCCGACTCCGGCCGGCCACAGCCCAGGGCAGCGCGGAGCCTCGTAGCTCCGGGTTCATCTGCTGCCGGGCCACCTCCTGAGCCACGTACTGGCCGGTGAAGCCGGAGGCTCCGAGGACCACAAAGCGATAAGGCCTCTTTTCGGTCGCCATGACTAGCAAGCAAGGGATCAGGATCACTGCCGCTCACTCTGTGTCTACGCCCAACACAGCGCGCCGAGGAGCCGGCGCGCGCCCCTCCCCCCGCGTGCCACGCCCGCGACGGCGTTGATGTCAGCGCCGTCAAGGCGGAATCCGCCTTTTCTCGTCACCTGCCGTGGTGGCCGTGCCTGCTGTTCCCTGGCTCGTGGCTGCGCCGGCCTTCCCTTCACTGCCCGTGTGGCGGGAGGCGACCCTTGGGCCCTCAATTAGACTTGCTGCGTTGGTGGCTCTCTCAAGAGGGAAGAAAGAAGGGATGGTGATGCCTTGGCCTGGGAGGCCTCGAGGGCCAGCGGCCCCTCGCCCTCGGGCTGGACCCTGGAGAGGCCGCACTGGTCACTCCCAGACCCCGAGGGCCCCCCTAGAAGTCTCTCAGTTTTCCTGTTCGTGACCCAGCAGTGTGCGTGTTTCAGCCCTCCCTTAAAAAATGACCTGCGCTAACCTTTCCTAAGCTTTATTACTTTAATTCTAGATCATAGATTTATACCTAGAAGGGAGGCCATCCCATCCAGGCCCCACAGTTTACAGATTAATAACTTGATAGATGTTGGCTGCTTGAGGGCAGAGATTCTTTCCTTTCTGCCATCGAATCGTCTACATGAAAGCTGGTTAAAGAGCCAACAAGCTAGGTGGCAAGTAAATTCATGTTGTTTATTCCCATAAGGTAGCGACATGTACATGGAGCCAGAGCTTTAACTTTGACTGACTCGAGCGATTTTAGGGAGGACGTGTAGATCCTGACTCAGGATGTCTGGGTTACTCAGATTTATGGTCTCCATATATGTTTAACCGTAGCATGAGAAAGGAATTTTCGTAATTGAATAGGTTGTAAATACAATAAAATGGGGGAATATTAAGGTGTCAGTTGAAATTATAGATCCAGGATATCTGTGTTTTAACATAGATAAGAAAAGCCCCACCACTGGAGGTAGTGTCCAGTTCTAAGGCGCTTTAGGGCGTCATAAACTGAAGAATGCTGGTCAGCTTCATCTGGTCCCATAGTTGCTGACAGAGAAGGGGGCATTTTGAGTGCCCTCAGAGAACAAACAAAAGCATGTCTCTTTTGTTGCCGTGTTTCTTGCGGCTGAGTAGTTCAGGCTTTGGCCCTAATTGAGGTTTAGATTACCCTGAATGATTGTCAGAATCTACATACTGGTGTTGAATAAATGCTGTTGGACAGTTTGCCCAAGGTGGAACAAGTAGTATGTGGCTAAGCCAGGATTTAAACTTGTTTCTTTTGATTCTAGTTCCAGCATCATTTCCACTGTACCATGATATGTCTCGTGGATCATCAGACACTTTCCTGGCGGAAGGGGACAGAAGAGGCACAGAGTTGCTGAAGGAGAAAAATAACTGTATCCTTTGGTGACTATCAGAAGATGAAGTTTTATTTTAGGCTGTGCTTTGGGTGGATATAAGCACATATATAGAACTTTTCCATCATAATTAAACATCTTAGAGTTTGTGCTCTCTTTATTGATATAAATGCTTTTTAGAGCTTAGGCCAGGTGTTCTTAACCTTTTTTTTTAACATGGACCTCCCTTTGGCAATCTAATGAAGCCTCAGAATAATGTTTCTTTTTAAATTTATCTTTCTTTTATACATACATATATTTTAGGAAGCAGTCGGGGTTAAGTGACTTGTCCAGGTCACACAGGTAGTATGTGTCTGAGGCTGGATTTGAACTCAGGTCCTCCGGACTCCACAGTAGGTGCTGTATTCATTGCACCAGCTCGCTGATCTCCCATGTTTAAATAATTATATTAAAATGCAGTTATAAAAATATTTTTGAAACATAATTTTTTTCACTTTATTTTTGCTTTTTTTTTTTTGCAACATGGCTAATATAGAAATAGGTTTTGCGTGATTTCACACGTACAGTTGAATCATATTTCTTGCCTTCTCAATAAGTGGGAGGGCATGGGAAGGTGGGAGAGAATTTGGAACTCAAAATTTAAAACCAAGAATGTAAAAAACAAATGATAAGTTTATATTATTATTTTAGAAAATCATATATTAAAGTGTCTTCTAATTTATCATGAGGTCAGGGCCTGACCTCATGAAAGACCTGAGTTGAAATCCTACCTCTAACACTTACTAGCTGTGCAACTTTCATAACTCATAGGATTCTAGATCTTGAGTGAAAAAGTATGTTAGAGGCCATCTATTTTTTTATAAAAATATTTTTTAAGAAGTTCACAGACACCAGATTAAAAATCCCTGTATACCATCACTCACTTGCACTCCACTGTGGTATATTGGAGTGTGTTATTTAGTAGAAGAGGGAAAATATTCATTAATAATAATGCACATTGAAATACCTCAGTGGAATAGTAACTAACCTGGAAAATAGATTGAGGAGAGATGATTTAAGAATTATTGGACTACCTAAAAACCATGACCAAAAAACAAAAGAGCCCAGACATTATCTTTCAAGAAATTATCAAGGAAAACTGCCCCGATATCTTAGAACCAAGGGGTAAAATAAAAATTAAAAGAATTTACTGATCACCTCCCAAAAGATATTCCAAAATGAAAACTCCCAGGAATATCATAGCAAAATTGCAGCACTTTTAGGTTAAGGATAAAATGTTGCAAGCAGCTAGAAAGAAACAATTCAAATGTAATAGACCTATAGAATCCCACAAAATTTAGCATTAAATTTTCTACATTAAAGGATTAAATTAAAGGCTTGGAATATGGTATTCTGGATGGCAAAGGTGCTAGGGTTGCAACCAAGAACAACTACCCAGCAGAACTGAGTATAATCCTTCACGGGGGAGAATGGATATTTAATGAAATAGAGGACGTACAAGGATTCTAATGAAAAGACCCGAGCTGAATAGAAAATTTAACTTTCAAATACAAGACTCAAGAGAAGCATAAAAGGTAAAGAGAAAGAGAAATCATAAGGGGTTCAATCAGGTTAAATTGTTTATATTCCTATATGGAAAGATAATATTTGTAACTGCTAAGAACCATAGGGCACTTAGAGGGAGTGTATATAGATAGAGGGTTTGGATGTGAGTTAACTGTGATGGGATAATTTAAAAAATAAAATTAAGGGGTGAGAAAGAGGGATACGAAGGGGGAAGGGAGAGGTAGAATGGGGATAATTTTCTCCCATAAAAGAGGCATGAAAAGTTCTTTTACAGTGGAGGGAAAGATGAGCAGCAGTGGTGGGCAAATTTTATGGAATTGGCTCAAAGAAGGAATAACATACACAATTAGTTGGGTATAGAAATCAATCTTACCCAACAGGGAAGTTGGAAAAGAAGGGAATAAGACTGGGAGGGGAAAGAGTGGTAAAGGGAGGAGAGAATGATCAAAAGGAGGGTGAATTAAGGGAGGCAGTGGTCAGAAGCAAAACAAGACTTTTGACCATATCACTAACAAAGGCGACAAAATCATATCTCAATAGATGCAAAAAAAAAAAAGCTTTTGACAGCATGTAACACTAGAAAGCATATGAGTAAACAACTTTCCTTAAAGTGATAAGTAGTTTCCATGTAGAACCATTAGCAGGGAATAGGATGAGGGGGTGTAGAAGGGTGTCTAGATTAATGAGATTGGGATAAGAGGGAATAATGTGTTTAGAAAGCTGTAAAGGTCTTCTAAACTCACATAGAAACGAGGGTAAGGGGAAAAGGGCGGGGAAAGGATAAGGGAAGGATCTTTGGAGGGGGGAGTAGGGTAAGTAATAGGTCAAGGTAGCAGATAGAAGTAAAGTAGATGGGTTAGGAGGGATAGGAAATAAGAGATACAAACATAAAACAAAGATCAGGAGTAGAATTTATTAGGGAAAAAAAGCAGGGATAGTAATCATGATTTCAGACAAAGTTACAGCTAAAATAGATTTAATCAAAAGAGAAAAATATACTACACTACATGTCAGCCATATTAATCAATATTGTTTTAGACTATTTAAAATACCTAGACGGTATAAAATTGGAATATTGCTCTGGTGTAGGAAATGATGAGTTGATGGACTTAGAAAAACATGGAATGACTTGGACTTGTGAAGGAAGATGTTGTCTACCCTCAGAGAAACAGGAAAAACAAGTATACTATGGTTTTACAAAGATGCATGTGAATGTTTATATCTATATAAGTATGATTATAGATATTCAAGTATATGTATGTATGTAGGGTTATAGATATGCATATATGTTTGTGTGTATACGTGTGTATGTATGTACATATACATATGTATACAAAATGTATGTATGTATGTATGTATATGTATATATCCTCACTTAATTAGGGCCTTCTTGGGGAATGGGGAGGAGGAGGGGAGGGGGGAAAAAGAACAAAGTAAAAAGTGCACAGCAGAGAACAAAAGAAAACTTAAAAGGAAGCAAAGACAGCTCTGAATGCAATGTTTAGTATTTATTATATGGGCATTCTCAAAATGGAAATTTATTGCTGTATATTTGAATCCTCTCATTGATAACCTGGGACAGAGCAATTTCAAATAAATGATGAGGTTAGAAGCCAGACTTGAAAGGTTTGAGAAGTGAGTGAGAGGAGAGGAAGTGGAGTAGATAGATTTAGAGAGTATTTTTTTTTTGGCAAGGCAGTCAGGGTTAAGTCACTTGCCCAGGGTCCCACAGCTAGTGTCAAGTGTCTGAGGCTGTATTTGAACTCAGGTCCTTCTGACTCCAAGGCTGGCGCTCTATCCACTGCACCACCCAGCTGCCCCCAAATCACTATTGATTAGAGAAATGCAAATTAAAACAACTCTGAGGTGCCACCTCACATCTATTTGGCTAAAATGACAGAAAATAAAAATGACAAATGTTGGAGGGGATGTGGAAAAATAGAGACACTAATGCACTGTTGGTGGAGTTGTAAATTGATCCAAGTATTCTGGAGAACAGTTTGGAACTGTGCAAAACTTTGACCCAGTAATACCACAATTAGATCTATGTGTCAAAGAGATAAAAGGAAAAGTTATCTCTGTTTTTGACATACAGTGTCCAGATGAGGACATTGAGTCTCAGAGGTACTGACATCCAGGGGTCTATATCCACACAGATCTTCACCTGGACTGTTGAAATAGCCTAAGTCTCTCTTATCTCCAGTTTCTCCCTTTTCCAATCCCTCTTCCACACAGGCGCCAAAGTAGACTTTCATGTGTATGAGGCAATTAAGCTTTGTCTGTTTGGTACAAGAGAACAAAAAGAGTAGGAGTCATGGGTGGACATTATATGGCAGATTTCTTCCAACAAGCATTTGTGTATTTATTTATTTATTCTTTGGTGTTTTCTTTCATAAATGTGTTTTTCATAAGGTACGTATGTCTGTGGATCACAATTTAATTCAGCAGAACCTGTTTGGGCAGCAAACAGATTGTGAAGATATCCTTTTTGCAAACTCTTCCTCCACTATAGGACTTCCTTTCTTGGCTCTCACCATTTTCTTTTTCTTCATCCTTTGGAGACTCTACACAATAATTGCTTAGTTCTGGGGAAACCTGGTTCTTACTTCTTTTTATGTAGTACTCTGTCAAAAATTCTCTTTGATTTCTGCCTTCAATCCTGCCTGTTTATACATTTAGAAAGAAGTCTTTTACTGTCAGAGTGGAAATTTTGATGTCTTCATATTAGGAGTGTCCAGTCAGTTTTGAGTTTTCTGTAGATTCATTCGTCTCCAAGCTGCATTCTGGATTTTCTGTCCAATAAGCCTTTATTAAGGGTGCACTGTGTGCCAGACGGGCACTTCTTATTGCTTTACAAATATATATTATCCTCATAACAGTCCTGGGAGATAGATGCTATTATTATCCCCACTTTATGCTTGAGGAAACTGAGGCAGTCGGAAGTTAAGTAACTTACCCAGGGTTATACAGCTAGTGTCTGAAGTGAAATTTAAACTTGAGTCGTCCTGACTCCAAGTCCAAGACTATCCACTGTGCAATTTAGCTGCCTCTAAATTTAGATCTACATAAGGAAAAACTTTCTAACAATTAGAGCTGTTGTTTATCCTTTGTTCTCAAAGAGGACCATAACATCAGGAAGATGATGTCATGACTTGCATGTGAATTGGATTGAAGTGAGAGAGGGCTGTGCAAAATCGCCAGTCCAGTCGCAAGATATAGATCAGGACAACTGGAGATGTCCTCCAACAATTAGAGCTATCCTAATGTAGAATGGACTGCCTTACAGATGGTGGATTCCTCTTCTCTAGAGGTCATCAAAGCAGAGGCTAGGTGATCTCTCCTCTCCAATCTATCTTCTACACAGCTGTCAAATTTATATCCCTAAAACACAGACCTGACCACGCCACTACTCTTCTAAAAAATCTTCAGGGGCTCCCTTTTGCCTGTAGGACTGAGAAAATTAAAAGCAATCCAGTATAATTTTCTCATCGATTCTATTTACAATTAATTAATTTTGTCCTGCAACTGTGTAAGTCACAGTTCTCTGTCTGTGAACTTGGTTCAGAACTCAGCTGGCCTGTAATGGGTTAAGTTTAAAAATCCAGCTCTCCTGCTAATCATTGTTTTGTTCTTGAATCAAGGACTTTTGTTGTCCTTGGGGGATGCAATTTATCATGAATGAGTTGGGCCTAATATCTTTACACCACCAAGCTATCTTTCAAGGATATTTAGTTTACTGTCCAAAAAGTCTGGGCTACTATCTCGCAGGGGGACTCAGACAATGAACACTTCTTAGTCTCAGGAGAAGAGGAGGTCATTGCCAGTCCCTCATTAGCAAACTTCCAACCAATCATATTGTCCTTAATCCTATTTTGTCACCAACCCTGTTCTGTTCTTTGTTCTGTATACCCCCAAAATACATAAAAGTGGAGCCATCCTTTTGCTTAGGATCTTTGGCATAAACTGAGGCATACTGTTGACCCATTCATTCACAGCTATACCCATCACTGTTAATAAATGTTATCTTGCTTGGAGAGAACATGCCTTGGTTTACCTTTTTTGTTAAACTTCAATTGTGACAAAGACAAAATAAACTCAGCCTGGCATTTAAAGCCTTCTATAATATGGGCCCCACCTGCTTTTCTCCTCTTATTTCATATTACTTCCATATACCATGTACCCCAGTCATATTGGTCTATTGACTTTTCCCTAAAAATTGACCATCTGCCACTTCCATGCTTTTGAACCTAGGGTCTGTCCCCATGCCTGGAATGCACTCCCATCTTATACCTGCCTTTTAAAATACCTACCTCCTTTCAAAGGATAGCTTAGTTGGAACATCCTATGCAAAGCTTTTAGTTTGGTAGTGCCTAGTACATAGCAGGAACTTAATAAATGTTTAATGAATACACTAGTCTAGTTGTAGGTGGTCTGACCAGGGCAAAGTATAATATCACTGCCTAAGCCTGGGAAGGACATTCTGTCCTTCAATGCAGTCTAGGATTCACCTAGGTTCCATTTTGATTTTTGTCTGCCAAGTCAACAGTAGTAGACTCATTGAAATTGCAGTGTATTAAAATGCCCAGATTTTTTCAAACAAAGTGTTATCTAACTATACTTCTTCTACCTTGTATTTGTAAAGCTGGTTATCTGAATCCAAATATAGAACTTTACATGTGTCACTATCAAACTTCAAACTCTTAGGTTTAGGTGGTTGTTCTAGCCCAGGGGTGGGGAACCTGAGGACCTAGAGGGCCATATGTGGCCTTGAGGTCACAACAGGTTCCCCACCCCATTCTAGCCTATTGAGATCTTTTTGAAACCTGAATTCTGTCATCCATCACTTTAGCTATTCTTCTAACTTTTCATCCACAAATTTGATAATCATCCCATCTATTCCTTTATCTGTCATTGATAAAAATGTAAATCAGGGCCAAGCATAGATCCCTGGGGTACTATGAACCAAGTTAACTACGAGCCATGAATGATAAGTCTTTGGGTACAGTCATTCAACAAGTTAAGAATCTATGTAATGTGCACAATGACTACAACAATGCAAAAGGAAAGGAAAATAACAAAACTGAATAATTAGTAATCATAATAACTAAACTTGGTCCCAGAAAAGAGGGAACATCCAGTTCCCTCTTTTCTTTGCAGAGGAGAACTAGAGCCTATTAGGACATTACAGTGTCTGTTGATATATTAGTTAATTTTGCTGAACTGCTTTATTTTTCTCTTTTTTTTTAAAACTTTGTTACAAGGAATGATTCACAAGATATAAGGGGGGATATACTCATGTAATGAAGGTAAAGTGAAAACAAAGTATTAGCAGAGATGATGTACCAGTAGTACAGAATAGGACGTTTTTAGATATGACTAATGCATTGGATTGTTTTTGCTTGATCATTACAAAGAAGGGCTTTGTAAGCCCAGGTTCATATGCATTTTTTCTTTATATACTGATATCTCCATGTTTATTGATGAGTATTAAGTTCATAATAAAAGAGAAAATTTAAATTTAAAAGGACAATAATAATAAATATCTTTTAAAAAATCTTCCTAGCTACTTGTATTTCTCTACCTTGTCCAAAAAGATATCATGAAAGATTTTGTTAGCTGTTTTGCTGAAGCCTAGTAGGGGATCATAGGTGCTTCCTACACTGTAAGCTCCATAAGCAGAGATCTTATCAAAATTCTGTTTCTCACCGTTCCTAGACCAATGGCTTCACTCAGTAGGCACTTAAATATTTGCTGAGTTGAGTTTATAGATCAAACATGGAGGCAAGAGCCTCAACTTTAGATTTTGTTGCTGAGACAGGACATTCACCCATTGAAAAGTTAAAGGCATTATAAAACAATACATAAAAGTGCTAAAATGAGTGTCATGGGAATAAAGTGAAAATTCAACAAATACTTATTAAGTTCTTAAAGACATTGTTCTGGGCACTGTGAATATAAAACCAAAAAACAGTCCTTGCTTTCAAGAATGTTATATTCTACTGGGGTTTACAACATGATAAATAATTAAATGTAATTTGAGGAGAGAAAGAAAACTAACAACTAGGACAGTCTTCTGTCCATAGTTACTGAGTGGAACATTAAAAGAAGCTGAAGTTTTTATCAGAAAAAATAGGAGGAAGTGTATTCCAGCCCTAGCTATGTAGGGGAAAGGTTAATGATTAAAGGTAGCCAAAAGGTTAGAAAGTAGCATAGAATAATGTGTTCCACCCTTGCTAGAAATCTTCAAGCAAAGATTGTACAACTGTTTAGTACGTTGTAGAGATAATTTGTATACAAATATGGATTGTACTATATGGCCTCTTAGGCCGTTGATTAAGTGGCTTTCATTAGGCCTGGAAGATTTCATGGGACCAATTAAGCTGAAGGACAGGTAGGATCTAAGTAGAGGGAAAGAAAGAGAAAGGCCAGTGGGCTACAAATAATATAAGCCAAGGTTCAAAAGTAAGAATCTCTTTGTTTCTTATTGAAAATTTTTTCTGAAAAACCTCCCACATCTTTATAACAATGACAATTTTTCATCACCTCTGGGTCATAATGCTGAATACCAGATCTCAAACACAAAAATTAATGTGGAAAGTATAGAAGATGGAGTTTAATCTGTACTAACCCTAGCAAAGTGTTTTTTTTAAAACAAATCCGTAGAACTTAATAAAGATAAACCAAAGCACAGAATTCTGAGCTTTATCAGTTTATCAGCAGGGTGTAAACCTGTTAATTAAATAGGTCAAATGGCTACCTCAGTTAGGCCAGTGACCCAGAGGAGGAAGTGCAGCTCCTTTTTATAAGCATATAATAAAGAACAGAATTGACTAGGTAAGTAAAATAATATAAGTGGTTATAGGGTTGGCAGCATCATGGGGGTGACATGATTGGTTACATTAAGAAGAGCAAACTAGTATCCTTGTGGGGCTAACAACCACCCTTCTCTCTGTCCTAGAGGAATGCTTATTTGATTTAAGGGACCCATTTGCATCCTGAGGCCATTGAAAATGGACCAGAGATAACAGATTCCAGGGCTGCTATGAGGGAGATAAGACCCTCTTTAATTGTGCAAGGACAGACATTCCCCAGTTGATAAATGGTCAAAGGATAGGAACAGGAAGTTTTCAGATGAAGAAATTAAAGCTATCTATAGTCATATGAAAAAATGTTCTAAATCACTGTTGATGAGAGAAATGCAAATCAAAACAACTCTGAGGTACCACATTACACCTATCAGATTAGCTAACATGACAAACCAGGAAAATGATAAATCATGGAGAAGAGGTGGGAAAATTGGAACACTAATGCATTGTTGGCGGAGTTGTGAACTGATCCAACCATTCTAGAGAGCAATTTGGAACTATGGACAAAGGGCTATAAAACTGTGCATACCCTTTGACACCCAGCAATAGCACTTCTAGGTCTGTATCCCTAAGAGATCATAAAAATGGGAAAAGGACCCACATTACAAAAATATTGAATGTAATGGAATATTGTTGTGCTATAAGAAATGATGAGGAGGTTGACTTCAGAAAAACCTGGAAAGACTCATATGATCTGATGTTGAGTGAAGTGAGCAGAATCAGGAAAACATTGTACACAGTAATTGCCACATTGTGTGATGACTATCTTTGATAGACTTAGCTCTTCTCAGCAATGCAAGGATCTAAGACAACTCCAAAAGACTCATGATGGAAAATGTTGTCCACATCCAGAAAAAGAACTGTGGAGTCTAAATGCAGATCAAAGCAATTATTTGCTTTCTCTCTCCTTTTTTTGTTTCTTCTTTTTCATGGTTTCTCCCATTGGTTCTAATTCTTCTTTACAATGTGACTAATGTGAAAATAGGTTTAGTATGAATGTATATGTTGAACCTATATCAATTTACATGCCATCTT